TGTATCCGGTATCCAGCTGGCTGGTTACAGATGTCAGTGCCACGCCAGTAATCTTCATACATTATATGAGATATGATATATCTCCGAAGCGTGTAGATCGTCGACTACCTAGTAAACGATTTTCTTTTTCTCGATATGCGGCTCGGCACGGTACATTGATCTCCTGCATGTGATAGACCGGTATTACGATCACATCGGCATATCCGCACGTCATGTAGACTACATGTGATAGATATAAAGAAGGGGTCTTCTTTTCCTTGTTCTAATTTCTAAACTAATCATACAGTAGCGGCTTTTCCTTAAAGATTTTGACTCGCTAATCCCAACCTTTTTTTACATCCATCCATCCATCTATCCATCCTATATCCCATATATATATATCCGTATTTCCCCTTTTTATACAAAGACTACCGATAGAAAATCATTCCGGTACTGAAGGTATCAATCATAAAATCATTAAAACTCCTCCCATGAACCCATTCATCTCGTCCATCCCTCATGTTCATCACTATCATCCAGAATAAAATCCCGATGAGACAATGGGTCGATATCTTGAAGAATTGTCGTATTTCCCACAGTTGTATTTCCTGCCGAATCTCTTTCCCTTCCATGGCTGTTATCACTCCACTCTTGTTCCAATGCCAGGCCAACTTCCAAATCATTTTGTCTAGCCCACGCTTCCCCTGCATCACGTTCGTCTTTGCGTATCCCGGGTCGAGATGCGTTTCTGGCTGAAGCTGGAAGACTAAAATTAAAGTTGGCTGTTATTGGACTTAAGGTTCGTGTATGAGTGTATACTGATGATTCTGGTCGTTTTTTCCCTGTTTGTGTCGTATATTCTGTATATTGTGTCCCGATGGATGTTCGTTGGTCAGGTAACATGCCTCGCATTTTTGCTTCCAACACAGCTCGTTCTTCAGGCGTGACGATCTTCGTTCCCATGCTAGGTAATCTTTGAAATTCGGTGCCCTGTTCTTCATCTCCAGATCTCATAACACCTCTTCTTTTGCTTTTGGGAAATTTTGTACGCTGGCCACAGCAGCTAAGGATTAAATCTTTATATTGTGTGAAAGATTTGGCGGTTCCGAAAACGAGAAATACTAAGAGTGACGCTGTAACTCCGGGGATGAAGAGAATGATATCTGTAATACAGCTAGATATCGAGAAGTCGGGAGACGACGATTTCGCAAGTTTTTGAAAGTTTTGTTCGGAGAATAGAGAAAAAATGATTAACACAACTTCGAAAGCCCTATTAAGATTGTCAGCTGGTTTTCTATGAGTTGAGCCACTAGGAGACCAAAGAGACCCACAGAATAATAACAAATCCGATTGTAAACCGGGTAATCAGTGCACGATCGTATACAGACCGACGAGCTATTTTGCGATTATTGGCATTAGATTGACCAGTTCCAGTCCCAGTTCCACTTCCAGTGCCGGTACCCGTCGTATCAGTCGCAGTCGCTGTACCGCTTGAAGCCCACCACCCATTACGCTTTTCGTGTGCAAACAGAAGCCGCCGTGTTTTGATATATTTATAAAGAATAAGTACCATGAGGATACTGCCGGTTGACAAGCTTATGAGCACTATCACCACAAGTCAGCTCAAGCTCTGAGTATGCACCTTTAGAGATAGAAGTTTTGGCTAAGGATATCTCACTTGTGGCGTTCATTAGAATAAAAGTCGCCACGAGGCTTTTTAGCACAGCCGGAGCATGCCCTACGCCCACTAAAATCCCGGGGACAACGATTGCAAATATCTTGGATATGAAAGATATATGCTCTCGCAGCCAGCTACCAAGGAAGTTCGCACGTATTTCCCAGGAACCACAGAAAAGTTTAACAGCCCTGATTACTTGTAAATCTCAATGCACAGCTCATCTGATTTCGGATCGACTTACCAGAACAACACCATTAAAGCCATAACATTATAACAATAGAATTCTGAGTCGAGAGGTTAGCAATCATTCAGATTGGCAACATCGGGATGAGAACTTACGAATTGTAAATAGTACAAGATCCACATTATTTCCCACACCCGAAAACCCCAAAGCTGGCGTTTCTACAGCTTTTAAAGCCATCTCATAAGTGTCATGCTTAACAATGAGCCAAGAGTGATTATAATGTATTTGCTGTGCGATAGATCCAAGTGTGCTTAAAGCAGAGAACTTTGCGAGGAATGTCACATCTATCTTGTTAGATGTATTGGTATAGATTTTGATAAAGCAACTTACAGGTCCATCTTTCACCATAGGTCCATAGCATACAAATGAGTAAGGTAACCAAAATGAGGCATATTGATGAGTATGTCAGAACGGCAGCAGAAGCACCTATGGCCTCTTGCGGAATCCCGGTGCCCATTCAGTACTTTCAAAAGGGTAGTGATAGTAGGACTTGCATTTAAGTCAACATGAAGATAAATTCATGCCTATCGAGTATTCAGGCAATGATCTATTGATGCCAGAACAACAGATAGTAACATGAGCAAGATCGAGAAAAATGAAAACCCAAAAAGAACAAAAAAATATGCTTTATTGGAAAGTCTGGACCTTACATATCGATCCGCATATAGGTTTGTAACATTTGTAGATCAGGCCAAAGGATGAATAAAACTGTCTATTCCTTGCAATGAGTCCCCTGCCTATTGTAAGAACAAGGTATCTGTACCTGTATCCCAAATACCTTCCTTTCTTCCGCATCGAACATCCCAGCTCCTCTGGACCAGTATTATTCAAGTGTATTCAGTTAGAAGAGACTTCTCCTATCCCAGAACCTGGGAATCTCACCATCTTAGGGAGGGTGTATATTCCATGTTCATTCTAGCAAACGTGAGAAACAAGGATGGCACAAAGGTTGCGGGATGGATCGAGACAAGGGAGACAGGGGAGATAAGATAATGGCTAGATGAGCTGACGAGACACAGTAATCTGCCAGCCGCAAGCTTTCCCGGAAGGATGTATCTAGATGATCTACAGATTAACTAAAATTTCGCGTATTTTTTAAAAAACGTGTAAACTGACCCCCATTGAACTTCTGAAGCCTGACACGGTTTTGAAAGACGGCGCTTGCTCGGATGATTCTTTTGGTGACACGTTGCCTAGTAATTAGTGTAACCAAATATTCTGTGCGCAAATTTGAAGAAACTTCTAGGGAGTATTTTGACCTTCTATGAAAGTTCCTTGCTAATGTCGGTAATGAATACGATGTTGTAGGACATAGGTCTGTGTGTACTTATTCAATGGTTGCAATGTTAAAAATCTCCCACGGCAGATAGACATCTTCGCAGACCCGAAGGAATGGATAAAATAAGAAAGAGCTTACGTGCCATTTGAATTTTAGGAAAGTGGTTCCGTGCCTATTTATCATGGAATTGTTGGATTTATATTAAGCGTAGAATTTTCAACGAATTACATACCACGATGTTAATACTTCGTCCATTAGCCATGCATAAAGTGTGTTGGGTAATCAATTGGGAACAACCTTTCTTGCTAATGCTTGTTACTTATGCAGGCTGTATAATGTCCACTTTAGTAGTTTATACTTATTAGCTTTAGGAACTGCAGTGACAATGTGACATGTTGTCACCCATCATCTCCATACCCTTAAATTGACTCAATGGGGCTCCTGTGACGAGTACTTGTCATGTTCAGGCGAACGTTCATCTAAAAGCACAGAAGAATGTCTGTAATGGCACATCTTGTCCAGATTATCGTTACAGTCCAAGCTCTGAGGTTACCAAGGATTTTCGTTGTGGAGAAGATACGCGACAAGATCAAGGAAGATCATTTGCTGGCTCTGATATCGGGGGCACCAGGGCCATATTCTAAATTGTGATACAACGTGACATGGTATACACTGTAGAGTTGGCACGCGCAAAGTATCCTGTCGAGATTGTATGTACGGGAGTTTGAATATTTCTTCGAAAGCTCGGATATTGGAACAAGCCATCAGAATAGAAGACGAAGTGAAAGTCCACGAAATTCTGCAATCATTTGCTTGGCTTGACGAATCGCGCGGCATGCCGGATACCTCGGATATGGAATCTAGATTGCCACACGATCGATGTATTGATTCAGGATTCAGTAAGTATCGAAATGGTTCAGCTCGGAATTGGCCCCTATTGCGATTAGAAGAATGCATGAGAGACTCATAAAAGTTAAAACGAAGAGCTTTTGGAACAGATGGAATGGATGGAATGATTTCTTGCGAGCCGTACGCCGGATTTGGGAAAGGAAGTGGAATTCCTCAAGTTGGGAGCGACCCTGTTTGAGCGGAAAGATATCCACCATATACCTATTTAGTAAGCTCGATTATAGGATTAAGTATGGACATAACACCTTTCGTTTACAGTTTCCAGTTGGTTGTTCTAGGAACTTACCTGTAGTGGACACTTAGTTATCTAGTTCTTATAGCTTCTCTTTGCAAACGCGTGTTGATGTTTCAGGGATCTTGAGCTGTGTTGAAATCGGCTTCAAATGAGCATCAGGTACCAAGATTAAAACAAGAACAAGGTTCGGACATAAAGTAGACTTTGCTATAATAAGGATCCTTCCGGATCTTAGGCTGGCCGGTGAGCTACCAATGCGGAGAAACATACTCCGCTACGTTCAGATTCTTCTTTTCGATGGTGTCGTTGCTAGTAAGTGTAAACTCTATGAGATTTCTCACCGCCGCTGCATCATTGACCAGTTCAATTGTAAAGGAAGTTCTGAGCGTTAGAATTAGTTCCAAAAGTATGCCCAACGTTCGAATTTGCAAGTTCAAGGTCTGATCACCTAATATCCGAAGTATGAAACTTCACGTAGCAAGCAATACCTAGGTATCGATGCAAATCATCAGCCTCAGCCTTGCATGATTAGTCACTCTGAGCTAAACCTTAACGAGTGTTGAGTCGCTTGCAACAGATGTTGTAGCCTTCCAAGATTGATCTCACAGCCTTACTACCTAGGTGGGCATGAACACCACTTGGAAACGTACATGTTGAAGACCAAAGAACTCTCGTTATGCAATCCCTCATTTGGGCCTCTAATATACCATTGTATATCACTCATCCTTCTTCTACAATACCTTATTTGATCAATGTACCCCGGGTCTCTTATCTGCCGCTCCTTTTCCCACGATTGCTATCTTTCTTCGGGGAAAATGTTACAAGTTTCTCCTATGAAGGAATTCTATTGAAGAATCTACCCGTTGGTCTATTATGTGATCTATATCAACCAGAATTGCCATGGAGAATAGAGTTAGGAGATGGTCCATCTTTTGATATTCATGATACTTTTATCAATAGCGTCAAAGAAGTATCTGCCCTCCCTCGAGATATTTTCAGCCTCGTTTACTAACAATCTAATTCCAGGCCGATTTCATACGCAATGGAAATGCGAAGGGTATAATGAGCATGTCAAAAGAACATTCGACGCAATTATGGAACTCAGTTCAAGATAGTATGATCCCTTTTTGATCTACATATGCAATATCGACATAGCATAAACTAATCTTACAAAACCCGCAGATGATCTTCACACCTACCTCAAGATTTCTACCATTCTCCTCAACCCCGCTACTCCTCTAAAGCATATTCCATTACGTATATATCTACCTTCATCTTCATCTCCATCTTCAACTCCTCATCCAGCTTCCTCGAGTTCATCAAAAGCTCCAGGTACTTCTTCTCCACCTCCACCACTTTTCGCATTTAAAACGGTACAAACTCTTATACAACCACAAACTGCATCTCGTGAACCTCAAACATTAGGAGGGGCCCTCAACACTATTCTTCCGAGTTTATTTCCAAGTAGGAGAGATGCGATTTTAGCGGATGTTATCTTACATGGGGCAACAGTTCCATTCAAGGCACCATTGGAGGATTTAATGAGGGAAGCGAGTTATGCGGATGGATGGTTAAATGTGTGTGTCGTTATGCTGAATTGACATTAGAAGTGATGATTATAATGATTACAATGACTTTATGAAAAGGATGAAATGGCGTTTTTTAATCTTTTGGATTTCAGCTGGGGAAGAGACTGAGGCTGTCAGTTACATTCACCTAGTGGACAATTGATTGATGAGAACATTACGATATCCGACCAACTCAAGGGTCAGTGACTGAAGAAGATTTACGGATTTGGTTCTTATATGATAGTTTTTCCAGCCAATGCAGAATTCATTAATATAAGTATTTATGTGGCTTGGTCATAGTTCAACAAGTGTGGTCATTAAGCTATATCAAACTCCCATGTATCATTTTCATTGATTTAGTGACCTACAATAGCATGATGCTCATTCGACGCAAACCAACTCAATCTACCATAACATATCACATGCAGATTTCGATATAAGGGATCCTCAATTTCCTTACCATTAGCGAAAAGCTCTTCGTCTAGCTGTTCTTCCTAAGATGAACTGTAGGGAAGTTTTGAATTTTGTTCATCGCCACGCAGCTCGGAGCTTTAGATGTCTAGGCGACAGAGGAGATTATTCTTCTTGCTAGTAACTTTGCCGATACCGGGAGTTGAGCTTTCCATGTAAGATGGGCAGCTTGTTCGGGCGAAGATGATTTCGCCAACATTCGCGTATACTATTACTATGTCTATGTCATCTACCTAGTAACTTCTTCTCACCACTTTCTTCTATATTCAGTAACCGATGAGTTGTGTATACAATATATCCAAATCGCAAGCGGCTATCCGCGTCAATGCCCAGCAGTATCCTTTGGAATCGAGGATTATTGAATTATTATTCGAGATGAATGGATAGAAGGTTTACTCAGCTCTTTGACTGTCATTTGTATAGAAAATTAGGAGGTTCTTTTTTTTCTTTCTTTTTTTCTTGTAGTACAGCGGACTTGGAGTTGGGAGGTTGATGATAAAGATGTGGAGATTCTTGATTCTTATGGGGTTTAAATGGATGGTTTCTCTAGATGTGGTGTTGAGGTTTGATGGGGTTTCTGTGGTTATGTTTTATATATTGGTATTTTTGTTGGGTTGGAGGATTGTACTGGACCATCATATGTAGAGGATTTTGAAACTTTGAAACTTGGGAAAAAGGTTTACGAGAGAATGGATGTAGAACGAGTGAGATGAGTTTAAGAGATCTTGAGATGTAGATTATACTTTTGCTTTTCTACATAAAATATACAGTACGGATGTTGAATACGATTGTTGTTGTCTAAGAGTGTGATGGGAAGGAATTTCGCTATAGCTTTTGCGGGGTTAGGATTTGGGATTTGCATCTCTGGGCGAGATTTCACGTGTGTGACGGGGAGAGTGATGGGAGAGCGGGAGTTGAAGATTGATTTTTTGGTAGAGTCATACTAGATTCTGCTCTTGCTCTTGCTCTTGGGCTTCTGGGCCTCTAGTCTTTGAGTCTTTGGTTTGCGACGAGCTATTGGTATCTGTGGTGTACTCGTCGGGTCTTCATCCATATCTTCATTCTCATTTTCATCTTCAACTTATGTATTTTCCCTACGTTAATTCTTTAGTGGAACTTGTGAATTTGGCATTTATATATACAGATATATACAGTTTGAGAAGGGAGTTTGTAGTGGGAAATTTGGGATTTTGTTATTATTCTTTTTATGTGTTTTGGGGGTTGTGTTTGAGTTTTTGTTTGTATTTAGGAATGTATTTATATAGAAGTGTATATTTCTTTTTATCTATCTATTAAATATATATAAGCTGCGGAGGTATTCCTACTTGTAGTATGTAGAGAGTTTGTAGTGTGCCGAGAGATTGCGATTTGGAGAGAATTTGTAGGATGTGGAGAAACTTCGTAGGAGAATGAAGAGGAAAGGAGAGGTGTTAATGTTGGGAGGGGGGAGAATGAATGGATGAGAGGGCACATGCGGATGAAGAGTAAAATTAAAGAGGAATTTCGTAGTGGTATGTATATTTAAATATGTATATATGTGAGAGTCTCGCTAAATTATCTTGTGTGAGATATTGTTGGGAGGGGAGAGGAAACTTATATACCTCAAAATTGTTGAAGTCTAAGTCAGTTTGGTGATCGAAAGGGGGTTGTTTTGATGGAACTTGAGAAGCTTGTGTGGGTGTGTGAGTGTGTGATTGGATGATTAATGAGAAATGAAGTTACAATTGGAGAGTGAGAACAGAGCGAAGTAAAGATGATAAGATAGTCAACACTCCAAGAGCACAGTAGGTAGCTATATATCAAAGTGACTATCGAAAGCAAGACTACTTACCTACGTACCTACATAACAAACAATACAAGAATACAAGAATACACACTGTATGAAAATATCCGACACGCACTTTTCCAAGTTCTCTCGAGTATGTATGTAATCTTACATGATACTATAACATCTCTTTGAAAATCGCAGAGATGGTGTGTTCTCATTATTCCAGAACCTTATACCCATCCCTGTTTTATTATTTCTTGATGGGGTTTATAGATATAATCATGATATGTATCGTTATAGTACTCGATTAGAGGTGAGATGCTGGACGAGCGAGTAGATATCACTGATGTTTCACTTTGTTGTATGCACACAACCTTGGTAATCTTGGTACACCCACACTATTATCATTACGAACAGCCCCCCTCTCTTCGTAGCGAATTCCTTCTCCCAGGCAACACGATCATTGTATTCCATAAGAAGAGGGGGGAAAGAAACTTATCACCTAGACACCCGATATTACAGGAATATCCACCCTAAGAGATTTATAAAATACGCCTTGTAATATATAAGAAACTTAATAGGCGCGTAAATGGATGGATGGATGTTGAGATAAGATTGTTTAAGCGCTGGTGCGATGGGGGTTAAGTGGTATGGGTTATGGGTTATGGGTCATGGGTCATGGGGTAAGGGTTGAAGGTAGAAGATAGATGGAAGATAGATATAGATAACGGTATGGGATATATAGAAGGAAGTCTGTTATGCTTTGATCCTAGGGTTGATGGCATGGCATGGGAGGGTTACTGAATAGGGGATCGAGGTAGAAGATGGTCATTGGTTTCATTGATGGAAGCGAGGAGATGTGGTGTGTAGTGTGTAGTGTACCTAGGTAGTATAGATATGAGACAAAGAAGGAGGCGGATAGAGATGCGAATCCTGACATCTATCTGTAAGCGGGCGGATCGATGGGATATTCGAGGGAATGCGGTTTAAGCTTATTTTGATGTTCTTTACAAAACAATTGTACTGTAGGAATTTAAAAGCGTCAGTGAGCGGTAAGAATACACTTCTCATCTTGGTTATCATATCTTCATCATCGAAATATTAATTTGGGATTGAAACGGGATGGATGAAGGGATGGAGGGATAGAAAATCGGGGAAAATTCGTGCAGATCTTCAGAGTGATCAGGTTTGAGGGAGGCATGGAATGGATGGAAGATTGTGATAGATTCGTGACGATGGAATGGAATGGATGGAATGATTGTTGGAATACTACCTATGTACCTAGTATTTTGTAAATACTAGTAGGTATTCTAGAGTTGATGTGTGGGTAGTACTGAGTAGAAAATACGAGATTGAGATATATATGCAGATATCAGTGTAAGATAACGTATATGCAGTATTCAATGCTGTGTAAGGTTTCTTGTGTTTTCAATGGTTAATGTGAGGATGGTTGTTAATATCATTATCATTATCCATATCAGTATCTATATCAAAAGCACATACGAATCAATGCCTAGTTTCTCTCGTATCTAACATTTCCATATGCATTTTGATCTCCATCTCCATCTCCATTCCATTCCATTCCAATTCTATCATTATCATTATCATTCCAAAATACCAAGTAACACCATCAGATCAATCATCATCATTAATGACGGAATACCTACTTCCTGCTACCACCCTACCACCTACGCCTTCCCAGCGTTTACTTTACCGCACATTGATGGGTAAGGATGTAACTCCACTGTCGATCCCCAAAAATCACCAACACGTACCCGTTCATCCAGGGGTTTGTTGAAGTGTAGAAGCGTTCATCAGCCCCATTTTCCAGCCACTTTTATACTGGATGAAGTATAGATTGGGTGTATTGATGTTTCACATTAATATATGAAGACTTGGCAATGAGGTAGATGGTAGATGTATTTAGGTAGGTATGATAGTTATTATGAGGGACGACTTTCTCTAATGATGTTAGGTATTCGTGTGAAGATTTTGGAAATATACTGGGAGGGAATGAGCTTTGATGTCATAGCCACCGATACATAGACGTTCTATTCTTGGATTTCCACTTGAATGTATTGCATTCGGTTGTGCATCAAAATACTACAATTGGTCAAAACCGATTTGGTTGGATGTTTGGATTCTTGAATACGAAGGAATACAACGTACAAGGGTGTTTAATCTTTCCCCACAGTATGTTGTACAGAGGACGATACGATTATCGGTAATACTGGTGTTATACTGACAGAGTCCCTGGCCGATAATGACGATGGATGTGGATGTACAAACAAACAAATCAATGCTTGTTCAGGGAAAAGTGGTGAGACTTAAATCTTTGTTGTGGTAAAGAAGTAATGATCAACGGGATATGCAAGAATATGTAATGCCGGGCATACTAGGTAGAGAGGTAGTTGATGCTTCTATCAGTTGAGATTATTTAAGTATCTACTGCTTTCCTTTCTCAATTCTATCTTCATCTTTTCATCCTTCTTACTTCCTTGACTCGTACCTACTTCACTTGAATTAGGATCAACAACAACACAATAGCCACCAGCAATAGCCACCAGCAATAGCCACCCGCTATTGCTTATTTTAATTCAACGCATAACGCTGAGAGCTGTCAAAGCTTCAATCAATCAAACCACCTTCTATCTTCTTGTACCACAGCCCCTCACAGCCCCTCTTCACCTCACCTCATCTCAACTCGAATACAAAATATAAACATTTAACTCTCCTCCACTTCCTTCATATCAACCCCCTCAAATTCATCCTCTCTCCCTTATCACTTGTACTC